GTGAAAGCGTCAGAAGCGTGCCGGGAAATCGCTCTTCACATTTTCCCATAAATCAGTAAAGAGAATTAATATGCAAATGATCTTTGATTGTAATTTCTGATATAGGTAGTGAGGATAGAAACGTACAATAAGGGAGTTATAAAAAATGATTAGACAGATAGTGCGAATACGCAAATCGTACAAAAGCAGGTAATGGATTTGTGAAAGAAAAATAATAAGAGCAAGTCACATAGATTCCATTTGCAAAATATTGAGTATACTGCCTATGAAAGATGGAAGCTAGCAACGGGCGTTGGTCAAAGGGGCAGTGGAAACACGGATACCTTTGCCTAACCATAGTCGATATAGCAGGCTGCGCTGATCGAAAAGACTGCGAATCACAAATATCTGAAGCAAGGATACGGCTAGCATTATGAACATCTGAAATGAAGACCAGTTGGTGACCCGATCAATGTTTGCCAGCATCAATGAGCGATCCATGTGAGCTACATTTATTTGGGCTCGTTGCATGTGTTCTACGTAGCGAAAATGTGCAAATATTCGGTCCAACCAGGTCTATGATGGCGAATTGGAAAGCAAAAATAAAATAAAGCAAAAATTATGTACTTTCTCGAAATGACATGACTAAGGGGAATGATGAGTATTTCTAATAACAAAAAGCCATTATGGCCGAGAATATAAAAAAGATTCAATAGCACAACGATGATGGTAATAATATTGTAATTCATTATACCTTGAGTCCTATTGAGCATGCTCGGCAGCTAATCATTTTATGTACGAAGAAAAAACGGAATTCGTTTAATCTCCTAAATAAAATCATTGTGGAGACTTTAATTTAGCATAAAATTGCACTAAAGAGAGATTCGTATGTCGATCATACCAAAAGAAAACTTTCGATTCACATTGTACTGCAGCCATTTGGCTTTAATACGACGTTCAGGTTGACGAAGTCCACGAGACATCCTTCCACGTTTCGAGCGAAAACGGGCTAAAAAATTTTCGGGTTATGAGTATAAATATAATGTAGGAAAAAGTCGGCCGATATTCTTTATTTGGTGTCAACTTAAGACTTTTGCAAGAATGAGCCCCAGCTCAGATGAGGTTTATGACATGACGAAAGAAGGCGCGGTCCGTTTTCGCAAGAAAAGAGAAAGGAGTACTCGTGGACTGAGCTAACGTGAATTTTGTATTAAGGACAAATGATGTAGTACAACGGGAATCAGCCATCGTCTTCTGATGAGATCGACCTACGAAACTCTTTATCATGAGCTTTCATAGGAAATAAAGGCCACCATAACAAAGTTACTCATTGGCATGTAATTCAAGCAAAGCTCCCAGTTGAAAATAATAAAGACCAGTTGTGCTTTCCTTCATTTGGCTGTAACAATCCTATTGGACAGGTGAAAGCATGATATTTTCGCGCTCAAAAAGAATCAGCTTCTCCACATAGATCACATTTTTCTTAAAAAATGCCCGCTCAACCTACTATTTATAAAAATTATAAGAATAACACAAATGTGCCCTTTACTCTTATTTTAGTTATGGCAAAGTTTGTTTGACCTCTTTAAATTCCAGATTATAAAAAAGGTCTTCTGAGCGTATATTCTAGAAGACCAGCTTATAGAAGACTGGGAGAAAAACCAATAAATTTATAGACGCCATACATTCATTCTTTCTAACCGCGTATTGTCCCAATTTGATGTTATAAATGAGAGAGAAAGATGATTTTATCTTTCCTAACTGCGTAGTAAAGACAGCATTTTCATCCATTCAGTTAAAAAAAACAAGATTATCATGGTAAATGTTTTTCCATGTTGTCAAATAGGATAGGGAGACGTCTCTTAAAACATGCGAACTTGCCGATAGGGAAAGAAACTAGGCTTCTAAGATGGTCCTAGTAAATGTATGCTTTGAATTGATAGTTTATTAGAAAGGGAGTGGAAGGAATTGTTAAATTTTTCTAACCCAAAACCGAATGAATTGACTCGATTTGTGCAAAAATTCATCGATTCACCGTACTTCAAATACGAATGATCCACTCTGAGTTTTATCTGGTCGTGCGATGACTTATTCGAATTTAATATCAAACATAGAGGTATTTATTGTAAATGGAGCAATTATTCGCATTGGCCCATATAAGAAAAATAAATGCATCCTTTGAAAATAAAATCATGCTTTAGATCGATTGTATAGATTATACCTGTAATAATGTCCGGGTTTCCCTTGCACTTGTGTCCAAAGCCCATGCTACATCGTTATGAAGGATATTAATTCATGCTACTTCCTTTAAAATTATAGATATTCAGCGCATCATGTATGATTATGTTTGGGAACGACTCATCGATAGAAGGTACTGTCTCATGAAGAGCAAAATCCCAGTGTGGGCCCCACAGGGTCGGGGGCATCTAGCCAAACATGACTATA